AAACATGCGCTCCTGCGCTGAACTTGCCCTACCACGCGCAACAACTCTGAGCGGCCAGGCCCATGTTCAGCATGCTCTGAACAAATCCTGCTGCACAGCACTTTGTTTGCGGCACTTCATGAAAGAGACAGGCTTAAACCAGTGTCCCTCATCAACTTCGATGTTAGCAATCAGCAGCACAAAGTCAGACCACGAGCCTTTCCCAGCAGTAAGCCGGACAAACATGTTGCAAATGACACTACAGACTTCGTTTTTTGCTTCTGGCAAGGCTTGCACCTGACTCGCGGCCGTGCTCAAACCACTTGCGCCTCAAACAATGGCATCTCTCAGCAGATATGTTAGATTGCAAGAGCCAAGGAACTCCACAAATGCTAGAAGCCTACCTCAATACACAGAGCGGGCTGACCAAGCGGGCGACATGCACACATGACACGAAATTAAGCGCAATACGGGAAGCCACTGTTCATAATCACATAAAAGATTAGAGCAATCAGCTTTTGAAGTCGTCCTTGGAGATCACCTAGACCTACGCAATGTGTGTCCAAGTCTTGTGAGAAGCCTTGCCGACTTCCACGCCGCCTAGTACGCCTAGGTCCTTGATGGACTTGGAGCGTCACCTAGCTTCCTCTGCGACTACCTGCTTGTTGCTCACCATGAATATACTCTTGACCTCAACGAATTTTCCACTTAGAATCAAGACTTACCGACTTTTATGATTTGACTGTCTCGGTCAAGGATAGTGCCTGATGGGCACTTGTATTTGAAGCGGTCCTGCCTTCCTGGTGATAGCTGCAAAAAGCCACAGTATCACTCTACTCTCACCGATACAGTCCATCCTTCAAATGCGCTCACTTTGACTTTGCCAGCCAGGCCATGCGATAGCCTCAGCCCAAACCTCTCCTGGCCCTCTGGGCGTCCTCTCGCTTACGCTAACAGGGACGCAAGCCGAAAAGCGCCACGGACTTTGCCTATGGACCTCTACCTTGCATCTTATGGGGCGTGTAGGATCCGAATCCTGATGTAGGCAAGGCAGCGGATAATTGGATTAGATTAGAGTAACATGCTGAGAGGCAGAAATGCATGACCCCTGATCAGGATGACAGCTCTGTGCGTATAGAAGTGCATTAAATTAAATTTCGCAAGCATGGCCGAGTAAGGATGACACGCACAAAACCTGTTTGGCTAATTCTTGATCAGAATCACGTCTGAGAAGAGCCAGCTTTCGGAGACCATGGCGTCTTTGTAGCACAAGTTAGAATGAAGGAGATAGAGCATAGCATGCAATGAGCGTGTTCTTAGACATCACCAACGAGGCCATTAGGTCCAGGGGGGTTGCCGACTTGAGCTTCCGTACGGCTAGAGTCAGTTCCTGCATTGCAGACGGGCGTTTATGCCGACCGACACAGGAAAAGCGGAATCGAGGGGAATAGCAGCATCTGAAGAGGAAAACCAAATCTATCATTCAACGTGGTCTGCAGACATAGCCCCGTGCTGCGACTTAGAAACGAAGTGGACATCTCCTTCAAGGAGCGCTGTGGCCTGTGGCTGGAACGGAGCCCGGCTGGAGCAGATTCAATTGCACTTCCATGGGAGTTCTTTTCAGGTGGATGGAGACAAGGGGTTTCGGAAACGACGCTCCAGAAAAGAGGAGACAAGCCGGAGTGGACCTGGAGACCTCCATGGCTTTTTAGCACTGCAAGGAAGCTCCGGTGTGAGGTCCTGATATTGCATAAGTAAATGAGTTAAGGTAAGTGTTTTGATCGTGCATGCCCTGAGCATTCCAAAGATCTGAATTGGAACCTGCAAAGGAAGAGAGAGTGGCGATCGGAGGTAGTGTACCTGCCGAACTGGCCTGCGTTTTGGCCATGAGATCTGCCATTTGCTTACCAAGGCAAGCAGCCTTACAAATGGTGGCTCTGAAATATGGTTGCAGTGCGCGTGACTACCCGAGGAGGAGTAATTGGCAATCAAGTGCCCTGGAGTAGGGCTAGCACATATTGTGAGTCAGACACTGTCACCCTGCCATAACTTTTTTTTGTAATCAGGAATTTCAACTTCTCGATAATGGCGCATACTTCCCCTGTGCTATTGGACCCTCACGCAAGACCCTCAGGAAATTGTGAGTTAGAGCGGACTCGATGGCCGTTGGGACACGAGAGGTCAGCATACCAAATCACATTGCACCGGAAAGGCGATTTACTATTGTCTCCGAGGAGTACCAGAGAACACCCCACCGTTGCGGAAAATTATGCATATCCTGAAAGTCTTTCTGAAGAGGAGGACTATTCAATCTCAAACTGGGTACGAAGGTGACAGAAGAAGCGCAAATTTCCNNGCATTGATGAGTTGTTGAAAGATGGGCAGAGGGTTGAGGAACTGCCATGTAATCCGATGCAGTCCAGTTGTTACCCATCTTGAACGGGGAGGGTCAGAACAACTGATTTCCTTCTCTGTAACTAGCTTACAAAAGCGGAGAGTGAAAAATGTTTGTGGCAAAGAGAGATAGAGAGAGAGAGAAAGCAAAGGATTCGTAAAAACGCAAAAGACAACAGCGCTGTCCCTATCATGATCAGGGATGCAGATTCTGTGGCCAAAGGCCTGATGGTCTGCAAAAGAGGCAGTGGGATCGATGCGGGAGTGAAAACGAGGAGGGACATCTCCTAGAAGGACTGAATGAACGGAAGTGGGATGTGAGAGAAAGATATCTTCCAGTTGGGACCCGAATGTTGCCTTGTGTTCCCTATGTATCCTATTCAGGTTCCGCAATCATGCTCGGGGAAGAAATACTGAAGAGAAGAACAGGACGAAGGAGGGTGCGGATGGCCAGCCTTGCTTTGTGGGAAAGCCTTGCACGTGTGATCTCAGCTGGAAAATGGCACCTTGCGTGCTCAGCAGTATTCGGGAAAGGGACCGACAAATTAAAACACACCCAAACGGGCTAGCGGTCCCGCTCAGAAACTGCGGCTGTTTGACGTATGAGAGGTGAAACTGATTGGCGAAAAGCTCTAGCTGTCATAATGCAAGTGTCTGACTTATGGTGCAAGTGAATCTGAAAATGGTTGTTTGGAATGGAACAGCAAAGATTCAAGGAACAGAATTTATCCGCTCCGGATGTTTCTGCAAACCGTACCTGCATCGCACGGTAAATGCAGGCTTTAGCCGCTGTACAAAGCAATCACCGGAAGGCATGGGCACAGATAGTGGGTGGCAAAGCTATTCCTGCTATTGAAAGGTAGGACTGCTTCCTGTATGGAAGTTGCATGACTATCCAAGCAAGCCAGGGATTGAAACATGATGACTAATCTCAGCTAAGTGAGGGAGGAAAGAGATTCCACGCTGTTGCTCTCATCATTGTCTCGAAACCGTTTCGACTTGGTGATCGGTCAAGCTGACGGAGTCTGAGATACGAGGAGCTTTGCCTACAATCATGGTAAGAGTGTTTATTTTTTTGTTGTCTGGTCTTTTTTGTTGTTTGGGCTTTTCGGTTGTCATTTTTTTTTCTGTTTGG